TGCAGAAAACAAATCTGCTCCATCTTCAGTATGACACGTGACAGATTTCAAGGTCAGAACTCCCATGCTAAAGTGACCTTAAATGAAGACTACCTTCATAATTCATAATTTAAGCAACTTCTACATTACTTCTGCAGTTTTGACTGCATCTACTGTACCTGGAAAATACAACTGGCAATCCATAGCATGCAGAGATCAAATATGTTGCCAACAACATATTAAACAGGGTTTCATGCACTTTTAAAGGTAGCATTCTCTTATACAGAGGCTTAGGCTTTGTAGTTTGTAGTTTAATTATTTATGTTAATAGGGCTGTTCTTACTAAATAAGGCACCAACCTTTCCAGTAATTCAGTATGTAAATAACCTATACACTGCAGGATGAATAAAGCAACCATGAAGCACACACATATAAATCTATACAGTTTTTTGAAGTATGCTTGGAGAGGCATGAAAGCAACATCACTGATGTAGCCCCTGGATTTTCTACTTGCCACATTAAAAACCTAAATGTATCTTTAATTTATCATATCCTGTTTTGAAAATGATATAAGGAGGCTTCCGAGCATTATTTGGTATTTTAGCCCACTCATTTTCATTCCACCAGTATCTTAAAAGGGCAGCTTGCCTACATTTTTAATTCTGAAACCAATCAAACAGCCAAGAATTTATGTGTCCAAAGTGTAGCCCTGCTTACAATCAGTGTAAATCACAGCCAGTCCTTAATATCAATTACAGAGTCAGATCCAAAAAAATTGCCTAAGAACTCTTGCAAGTGATAAGCACAGTTTATCAGACATCACTTAACCTGAACACCAACACTAGCAGGCAACTTTTCAAGACATTTAGCCAGTAATCAAAGCTTCCATGCATTTTAGGGTAACTAATAGCCATTTTTAGATGTCAGATTAACAAGGTCAACTGCTTTCTCCACTTGTAATAGCAATTGAAAGTTATGCTACATCTTATCCCTAAACATTGGTATTTTCCTTGCATAAGGGAAAGTTGCATAGAAATTAATACATAAATATTCCAACATGATAAAACTTTATTCCCCTTTCCCCATAAAAAAAATAAGGGAAATGTTATCTGAATATAATTTAGATGTAGTTTATATATGCTAGAACAGAATAACACACACACTAATATCATAAAGGTACCAGAACTTGGAAGCAAAGCAGAGTCAGGAGACTGTTAACCAATGGCTTGTGCTGTAGGATGTATTTCAGAGGTAGGAACTGGCAAAACCACCTTTGAGGACTCCTTGCCTAAGAAAACCCTGTGAAATTCATGGGGCTGCCATAAGAGGACAGGCAACCTGAAAGCTAGCACACGCACACCCACACACCCCAAGGCTGTTGGAGAAGTACAACTTACATTTTTCAGTTTGTTACTGGCAAACAACATTGAAATCCACATGTATCTACATTTCTGATCATTCAAGTATTTTATTCTTTCAAGATATTAAAGTGCAGAAGGTTGCTTTGTACACACTAGGATATAACAAGCTTCTACATTCAAAATAATCTAAGATCTGCTTACCTCTGTGGGTTTGTAGCAATCTACAAGTGCTTCCTAGAAGTAAAATGATAAGAGTATCAGTTGTTTATAAGAACAGACTTCTTTCTCTTTCTTTCTTTCTTATATCTAAGAATAGGGCACTCTAGGATAGCCATAGCATCTGCTAGCAAATAAAGATCTTTACTATGTTAATATGAGGGGGTATCGTAAAGTAATAATTATCATACAGAAGTTATTACGGTATATTGATGAAATTTTGTCAGTGTCATCATTGATCCCTAAGTGCATGATGTTGAGAAAATCAGCTCTTTATGTCCTTTATTTGTTACAGGCTGTGCCAGAAGTGACTAACGTGGTAAGATGGAGAAGACTGTGGCTCACAGCGTGATAAAGTTCCTACATTTGAAGATTAATAATGCCCAGCAAATTCATGATAAGATGATGGTAGTTTATCGAAATGATTGTCCATCTTATGAGACTATTGTGATGTGGAAAAGGAATTTCCAAACTGGTCACATCTCTCACAGATAGCCAAGTCCTGGAAGACCATCATTGACGGATAATGTGGCCACAGTGAAGACAGTGGAATGTTTAATCCTGGAACCATCCAAATGATCATGAATGAAACTGGTCTCAGTTATGGTAGTGTGTGGGAAATTATTCATGATGAACTGTGCATGTCTAAGGTGTTTGAACACTGGGTTCCATGTTTGCAAACCCCTTTCCAGAAACAAACACAGTATGACTTTTTTTGTTGTTTAGTTAATTTTTATTATTAAAATGATATCAAGTTACATTGTTTATAACATTATTTTCCCACATATTCCCTTCTTCTATAGTACAAAATTACCATTATTCAACTTTTTACAAAAAACATATGAATACTAGTTGGTTATTCTTGACTTCCAGTTCTTCTCCAAAGAAAAAAAGTTTACTGCAATTCTTTGACATTGTTGGAACAGAATGAAGGGGGGAAAATGGGTTGTCTGGTAAACATGGGTGAATTTTGGATCTATCAGTATGATCCAGAGACCAAAATCATGAGCATGGAGTGGAAGCATGCCGATTCCCCTCCTGCCCAAAAAAGACAAAGGTGCAAAAGTCAGCAGGGAAGATCATGCTCTCAGTTTTATGGGACTGTTGTGGAGTGTTTCTCACAAATTACCTTGCAAAGGGACAAACCATCACTGGACTACAGCAATCTTCTGGACAAGTTGCAAGATGCTCTGAAAAAGAAATGCCGCGGTATGCTCTCCAGGGGCATTCATCTCCTAGCTGACAATGCACCAGCTCACTCATCTCAAATTGCAGTTAACAAAGCAAGAGCATGTGGCTTTGAGATCTTGCAGCATCTGCCTTATTCTCCCGACTTCGCACCAAGTGACTGTCTTGTTCCCAGAAATGAAAAATCCATTGCAGGGTCACTGATTTGACAACATAAATGACATCATTCATAAAGTGGAAGAGTGGCTTAAGGTGCAATCTGCAGATTTCTACAATAATGGTATTCGGAGGGTCAAGCAACACTGAGGAAAATGTGTAAATCTGGATGGTGACTACATAGAGAAATGTTAACAACTACAAATCAAAATAAACTTTCTGTCAAATTTTTAAGAGATAATAATTAAGACTTTACAATATCCCTTCGTATTTCATATTCCAGAAGAAAATATTTCAATCATGCTTCTCTCATATATGAAAACAACAGTATCAAGAATCATTGTATCTACATTGTAGAGATAATTTCCACTTATTCCAAAAGTCACATGTAAGGTATGACAAGAGGTGAAGGAAGTCATTCCCTCATCGAGGCTATCTGCCTCCTTGACCAAAACAGATGGAAACTGACTAACTGGCAGTGGCATACTCTCAACAAGCCATGCAAACAAGCCTTCGGGCAGGCCAGTTTATACTGGGAATGATAACCTTCACTTCACTCATCTAAACTAAAGCCCTTCTATAAGCTCTGCATCACTCTGTGCTATATAACAGCCTTCATTTTTAATATTCTACTCTGCAAGAAGTAATGATTTATTGGCTTCCTTTCCAACAACTGTTTTAGGCTTATGAGTATACTGTGTAATTCAAATAAACTTACCACTGTACCTTTTAATGCTGTCTGCAAGCCGCCCTGAGATCTCTTGATATAGAGTAGGGTATAAATATTTTAACTAATAAATAAATAAAATTAATATAATAGCCATTCTCCCAAATTTCATTAAAAGCAAACTAACTTGTAATTTGAGGGCTCTCTCCTCTTCATTAGCAGCATCAAGAAGGTCATCAATGTCAATTTCTACATCTGGCATCTCTTCTTCCTGGGAAAACAGAAAGTTAACATACTAGATTCAAATTCATTTTAGCCAGGTTCAAACTTTAAACAGTAGTATTCTCACTTTCACACATAAACAAAGAGAGAGAAAAACACTCATACACTCTTCCTTAATTCCCTGTCAAGACATAGATACACAAGACGTAGTGTAACAGTACACTATGCAAAGCACCAGGTGAAACTGGACATCTTGACTGAAAAAAAAAGGGATGTAAACACAGTTGAAAATAAATCTCCCCACAGGTCTTTAATCCAGCCCCAAGAAAAATTATAGAATGATAACTTCCTAATAATAGTAAACATCCCTGGGATGTTGTGCAGTGAATCAGAAACATGAATATGCCTTCTCCAGGCCACATTCTGTCATCTTGCAGCTGGGAAACAATGCATTATGGACAGAAACTCAAACCGATAGGAAGGTCATTTTGAGGAATATTTCCGGGGGGGGGGGGGGGGTTGCAGAAAGAGAGAGAGAGAGAGAATATCTTCATCCCACAAATTGTAATAAAATCCAAAATACATATTACAGTGATGCTTATATTAATCCAATCAAGGCTGCAAAATACATTACTCAAGTTTTCAAAGCTCACAGGATTCTTCATCAGCCATAGATGTTAAAAATCCTGGGGGGGGGGGGGCAATGTGATGATGGACAGAGCTGCAACCTTCTTGAGATGTTAAAGGGGTACTTGTACTGTATTTCTCTTTTTGTTTGTTTATTTGTTTGTTTGGGTAGGGTATCCAGAATCATTGTATCTACATTGTAGAGATAATTTCCACTTATTCCAAAAGTCACATGTAAGGTATGACAACAGGCGAATATACCACCCCCGCCACCCGGAGCCATGATGATATTGATTATTGTTATTATTTGTTCTTGGGTTTTCTTGGCAAAATCTCCACAGGGGGTTTGCCATGG